TAGTTCCTAACGTCATGTCTGGGTCCAAGTTTGTGACGTGGTACAACAGTGACTGTTTGCCACTGTGTGGGCACTTTTCCGGCCTTCATTGAAAGAGAGAATAGATTGAGCAGGAGAGGGATATCTGACCCTCCTAGTTTTAGTTCGATTGAAGGAAGAGCATCAGGGCCTCTGTAGTTAGATTGTTTCATAACCCCCAGTTGTTTTTCTATGTCTCGGAGTGAAAATTCTACTTTAGAGAGACGGTTGGAGGTTATGGTTGTTGCTGTTGTAGAATCAGTGAAAAGTCGTTCGTCTGTACATTTTTGCGAAGGATTTCCACCTTGTTGGTGACTTTAGATGATAGGCTGTCAGCATATTTTCGGCATTTAAGCTTAAGCGGTGAGACCACCTCAAGACAAGTTCAGATGTTGCTATAGAACACATTTGCAGCGATTTGAGAGTCAGAAGTTAAGAAGAAACTGTCCCATGGAGACGATCTAATGAAATATACAAATAATCCAGTCCGTATATGTGCACTCACGGTACAATGTTACGGGTGTGTAAATGTCAAGGAGATTTGACTGCAGTGAGCTAAGTGAATGCACGATCAGCTTGTGGTCGCTGCCGGAAAACATGCTTAGTACACTGGTGGACACCTTGTGTGAAGAGATTAGGAATGTGATCCTCTCGAGTTGGCGACCGCACGTGCTGAATCCAGCCATGGGAATGGAAGGAGATAGCAAACCTACCGTACTTTGTAGATAAGGTAAGTGTGTCGCAAAAAATATTCGGCATGTTGAAATCGCCACCTATGAGTTTGTAGTCTGCAGGATGTTTAGAAGCGTGATAAAATACATTTAGTAATTTGTCTATAGTTGCTGTATCAGAGTTTGGTAGGTGGTAGACGCAGCCGATTAAAAAGTCGTTGGTTTATACAAGCAGAGACAAAGACCGAACCTTTCTGACTGCTCAGATTGGGGTCTGTAAGTGGACAAGCAAATATGTCAGTTCTGGTGTATCCGCCGGCATCCGCCGGCATGATTAGCGGATCGGAAGCTGCCGTAGCTGTTGTACCCTGCGATCTGGTAGGCAACAGACGACGTAGTTTCATTTAACCATGTCTCAGTGACCAAGATAACGTGCGAGGGGAAAAATGAGTTGACCGCTCGAAGTGTTTGAATTTTATTCAGGAGTGAGGGGGCGGTTAGAAGTATAACGTCGATGTTGTGCTTATTGCGTGTTATGTTTGCAACCTGCCTAAATATGGAGGACAGGGAGGAGGGTGGGCTGACCACGGGGTCGTTGCAAGGTGGGGGACAGCTTGGAGGCTTAGGACCAAAAGTAGTAATTGATGGGATATAGTCAGCTGGTTTAGTGGAAGCGGACATGGTAGCAGCTTAGGGACCACCGTTGACAGGAAAGAATGGGTGTTAGGGGTAGTGGAGGAGGAAGTTGTTAAGGGTGAACCTAGCTTCTGCTCGAATGGACTACTTCGTGTAACAAATAGCAAGTTGACTGCGCATCGAGGCAGATGCGGGGATAGTGAATACTGTGTTATGGGAGCAAATAAAATTTGAATCTGTACAACCCCATCGAAATATGAGCAAGATGGTTAAAAAAAACTATGACTTGTCAATATCCTGAACGTTTTCAAGTTCTCATGTGACATGATAAAAATACGTGTAACTCGTAAAAATTGGAAGTCACAAATGTGAGAGGTCAGTGGGTAATCGTTCTCGGAATCTAACACTGGAGTAATGCACACCCAACACTGTTTTGAACTGCTGCACTGAATATGATTCCACTATATGCTCCGGTAAACCGTTCCAAATATTTACCACTTGCCGTTCAAAGCACAGGGGATGGTGAACTCGCTTCAGGTCTGAAACCACAAGCTTGTACTGGTGTACTGGTGTGATGTGTACTCGCAAGTGGAGCAGGGAAGTCAACCAGATGCAGAATGCAGTAGGTCATGATGAGGTCAACATACAACCAATGATAAGCCCAGCAACTCGCAACTATCTTCGCACGGTAAACTCCGCGAACTGGGGATGAGCTTGGTAGCGACGTCTTGGACCCGTTTGATCATGTGTACCTCGCCTGGAATGGCTGGGTAATAGGTGGGCGAGCCGTACTCTAGCATTGGTCTGATGATGGAGGGGAAGTGGAGAGTGGCAACCTCTTCCGACCAGATGTAGAAGCTGCGTTTGAGCGCTCCGAGCAAGCGCAGTCCGTTTGGGTGCGAACTGTTCGTGCTGTCCACGGATTTCAAATCGCGACGTGAGAAAAGGTATGGATCCATCATGGAAAGTGCGGGACATAACTGTTGACCATCAAAAGTCTGGGTTCGGCCATCACCACCCTTCCCCAGACAGATTAGTGCCGATTTGATTGGGTTGACCGGGAAGCGAACTCTGCAGACCACATAGAGAAGCGGTTGAGATCTTGCTGAAGTAGGCCGCAGCCGTTGGAAGTGCATATCAGTCTTCACATCTTCAGGTGGTCCGCAAACAGGGCGCACGACGGCCGAAGAAGCTTATGTAGATCATTAATATAAATCAGGAACAAGGTAGGTTTCAGCACCGGGCCTTGGGGTACGCCACTGGTTGAAGGATACCAGTCGACCAAATGGCTATCGATTTGTATCCCCCATTTTCGTCCAGTGAGAAACTCCCGGATCCACTGGTGCAGTGGGCCACCAGCACCACTCTACACTTGTGGAGGAGGGGCTCGTGTTTCACCTTGTCGAACGCTTTGCTGAAATGGATGTAGATCATGTCGATACTTCTGCTGGTTCACTCCTTGTAAACATTCATGCCTCGTCACGAGCAGGTTGGTGATGCATGAAAAGCCTTGCATAAAACCGTGCTGTGCGGGCGTTAGGCAGCACTTTGACCGGAGCAACTATAGGCAACTCTTCTTCACAACCACTCTGGAAGACCTTGGCCAAAATAGGTATCAAAGAAATTGGCCTGTAAGTGTCTACTTCACTGGGGGCACCGCCTTTCAGAATCGGCCTTACCACGTATCATTTCGAAGCAATAGCCAACGAACCTGCGGACAGCGATCGGCTGAACAGGTCAGTTACAGCGGGCGAGATAATGGCCGATGAGAACATGAGAAGCAGGGAGTGGAGCCCGTCAGGCCCAGTTTGGCATGTGGATGATGCACCTATATCACACTACAATCAAAAATGTTGAGTTCGGTAGGGGTGGTGCACGCCGAACTCGGTCATTTGCAAACACGGAAACGAAGCGCGCCACCAATGCGAACGCATGCTCAGTGCTGGAGATTAAAGGCTGTCCATCAGCGCCCTCTAACGCCAGTCGGCTCCAGGCGCCGCTTCACGTAGGCAAAGATTCTCTTCAGAGCAGTCTTTGCTGAGGTTGTAAGCTGCACCAGGAAATGCCCGTTATTGCAACTGCAAATGTTTCGCTGCTTTTTATATTCCTCATAATCGTCGACCGAGCCAGAGGAATCATTAATACGTCGGGATGTGGTACCAACACTGTCATATGACCACAAGCGGTTGCGTGTGATCCGACTTACTGCGAGATCGTCTGTATCTAAGTAGGGTAGAACCGCTAATCCGTAGATTATATGACAAGCGGCTGAATCACTCCGTCAGCGGTCGAGTAGATGTGAAGCAATGACTGAGTGATATGGCACGCAAACGGAAAAGCCGACCACCCTAGTCACTGGGGAAAAGCGGTCTCTCCCCTGCAAGAGTGCATCTCCCTCTCAAACTAGGTCCATGCGATCAATCAAGCAAACAACAACAGCAGCACATCAGCCATTTGAACTGATATTTCGCAGCCACATAAGCAAGATTACCTATGGCATAAAGAATAATAAGAGAGAAAGAAGGGGGACTTACCTGAAAAGCCTAATACCCAAAGCAAATATCCATGGTCAAGGCGCCTACATCCTGCGTTAGCAACATACGATCGTGCAAAGATAAGGCGGCATCAGCGAGACAGCTTCCTTGCGACTTTCACTGCCACGCGTCATAATCAGACATTACCCCGCAGGTAACTCAGCAGCAAGCACACTACAAACAGACAGCCCGACTAAAAGACAGCAGCAGACGCGCTACTGGTATCGGTTGCGAGCCGTCTTGTAAACTCTCGAGCCAAACACAAGGCGGATCAAGTGGACTCCAGCCTGGAAAGCGAAAGGGATCGAAGGCACCCAGTTTGGTCGTCAGTGACTTCATTTCCCACTGCTACGTCAATTTTAGACCACCTAGAGCCTTGCGCCACCCTACACCTGGCAGACTAAACAGGGCCCTCCTCGGTAAGCGGTGACCGGACATACGTAGCACGTGCCCAAGCCAACGCAAGTTATCCAGTGTATCTGTTGTTATAAAGAGCTAGCATGATTGTCACTACCTAGTACTCGCCTACGCACATCATCGTTGCGGACACGCTAGTGCCATCCGACACCAGCAATGCTTCACAGACAACGATGATCAAAGCATTGAAGGCGCCTCATCAGCCCGAAGGGGCCAAGTCACACATCCATAGAGCACAATGCGCCTCATTGTGGCCTTGTAAACACGGCCTCTCAGATGGAGGGAAACCCTTCTGTCGCCAAAGATGCCGCGGGTACAAGAAGGCAGTTCTGGCTTTTGGAATACGCGAACTGACTTCAGTTTCTATATGTCCATCATTGCTGATGCAACTACCAAGGTGAGTAGATCAACCACCTCGAGTTCCTCGTTATCAAGGGTCAAGGGGTCATCAAGTGGCTGGTGGTCCTGCGGCAACACTTTGCGCTTTGAAGGCGCGAAGCGCATACCGAAATATGGGACCACTCGAGAAAGTTATTCAGGGTTGATTGTGCTGCCCCAAACATCGTTTATACGATCGGACGCTTAGGGTCATAAGGATCTTGTACATGTAAATCAAACGGTCCCAACTATCGAATGGATATCCGCCGTTGGTAAATACGGTAACGACAAGCAAGATAATGATGAGTGGAAATAGCAGTAATATGGAGAAAAACTACGCACCCACCTGATTGTATATCAGAGTCCAATATCCACCGTTACCGTATCCGGATACAACATCGACCAGATTAGGATATAGCAGATCCATTACTTGCTTTTCCTTCGCATGACCTGTTACACAGTAGCTGCGTAAGATAAACGGTCACAAATACCTGAACAGTTGTTCGGATGGTTGCAAATTTCGAAAAGCCAACGTCCATGGGCGTCTTCGTAGGTGCAGTTGGCAGGTGTGTCCGCCTCCACACTAGCGGCCAAAAAGAGTAGTACGCAAAATGAGAACGGGGTTTTAAAGTATCCAAGATTTTGTAGTGGAAACATCGCGGTGTTGATCACACGGCGTAAATTCTGCAGCACTGAATAGGCGCTAAAACGATGAGCAGACAAAAGGTCAAACAAGTACACGATGAGCTATTCAGTACAGTGAAGTTGGAAGCTTGGTGACGTATATGAAACAGGCAAGGTGACCGTCAATTGGGCTAACCGCCCTGTATTGCAACGCTACTTTCATCTTCGCTTCGTTTTGATATATTAAAGTGTTTGGAATAGATCTGGAAGTCATGAACTCAGAAAAACCTGAAAACAGCCGGTTAGTGTACGTTCGCTTAACGTCCCTCATCAAGCTGTAAACGCAACGCCCGGTTAGAAAATTTCAGATTTTCCTAGCACTGCGTCAAGGAACAACCACTAGTCGTGACGAAACTTCCAAGATGAGTGAAGCAAGCTACTTGTTCCGGAAGGTTCCGGTCTCTTCGGAGGAGATCATGAGAAGCAACGTGGATTTCCGCTCACGACGACAAAGTGAACATCTTGCCGGGCTCTGCGAATGGACATGATTGCCGATTTCCCAATCGAATACATGAACATGCTGCGATTGCGAGTGATAAAAAGTCACATTATGTTATGGTGTTGTGGACCGACTGAACGGAACGTTTGTCATTCCAAGATTTCGATCGCATCAACCACTTAAAGTTATGCGCTCGCCGTCTCACTTCCGACTTTCCACAGAAATGCCTAACCTTGAAAGATCTGGACAGATGGAAGGCAACCGAATTTCGACAGTTTCTATTACGCCTCGGATCGGCGGTTTTGAACGACATTTCGCCGGACAAACTGTGCAACAACTTTGGCAACCTTTCAATCGCTGCGTATGTGCTTTGCAGCAGAAAGTGGTGCTCATACCACATGAAGCGTGTAGTGAAAATGATGGGTAAAATGAATGAACAATTCGCGGCAAGTTACGGTGAGAGTGAGTTGGTTTTCAACGTGCATTGCCTGCAGCACATATGCGCGGATGTGGATCGATTTGGCCCCTTAGATTCTTTCTCCGCATTTCCATTCGAGCCTCATTTGCAGTGTTTACGGCGCATGATGCGCGACCTTCATATGCCAATGTCGCAGATATTCCGTCGCATTGCGAAGCGTTCGGCGCCATTTTTACTAAGAAATCCGGGTGTGTTGACGACACGGGTTCCGTGACAATTTTTAGTGGGGCTGGCAATAGTGCCGGCTTCACGTTGCAGGGCGCGTTTGTTAATAGTAAGCATCCCAACCACGTAGTCACTGCACGCGATGCCCCATCTGTCGTCAGTAATGTCAGGAACTTGGAAGTGTGCAGCCAGCGATATTTGCATCAGGAAGCAATATTCGATCAATTTAAACCCTCAGCGTTCCGGGGCACTAACACCACCAAAAAGGATCCTCAACGCCAAGTCAGCTGCATGTGTCTTCCACGTCCGATAGATGGAAGCACAGTATTCTACTCTATATTGCACAGCTGGCGTTGAAAAGGGAAAAACAGATTACTAAAGTAACAAGTGAGTTTCATAGAATTAGCATTGTTCTTATTTCAGGTGTCATACAGCATGATACGTAAAGGCACGGTAAAAAGAATGTCAAAGTTTCCAGAGTGCAATCAACACTTTTCTTTCCTTGGTTGCTCCTTTCGCCTTCTATTAAACATAGCCGTACCTACTAATGAAATCGATCTTTCAGACGTTCAGTGTCATTGAATTCGAAGATGCAAGCGTAGCCGTTGCACATGCTAGCTGGATGGTCGGCGATGAACAGGTTCCGTGACCTAAGTTGCCTTCACGGCAAATAGAATCGCTGATACTTAACGATAGTTCCCCACCATCATCAGCTCCCTTGTATAAGGTGAGAACCCAAAGGTGTACCGGTAAATCTACCAGGTTATGCACACAACGCTTTGCAGATGATTACGCTAAAGCCAAGAAACTGGAAAGCGTGTTACTGGAATTGTCGGAGGCTCCCTCCAGCGACGCAACTTGTTCCATGGAGCGTGGCGGAAAACACAATATGTACGTACAAATGATGCTCAGTTAATTTGCAGCATTCCCATCCGTTTTCCGGATGGGAAGTCGTGTGGACGTTGATTACTCACCCCCTCCGCCAAGGTTACAGCTGGTGGATATGCATCGGGTAGTGACCAGGAGAACTTGGATCCAATGAACAACACGCCGGTAGTGTGCAGGTAAGTTGCATTAAATACCGCATATTGTTAGCCCCATCTCTATATTTCGGACCTCAATGTCACAGACGCATACGGATGAGTCAAGTTACAGTCTTAAAGGAGTGTGCAGTATGTTGTGACAAATAACCCTTATTATGTCACAATAGTCAGATTTGACCATCTGATGTCTGAGTTCGTCAGGATGCGCGAACACATCCAATTCCTGGAGTTGAAAATGAGCTCCATGGATCGACAGACGGTCAGCGACAGGGCAGCAGCTGTTAACCCAGTCCCACTACCGATGAGTTCCGGAAAGAGCTCATCACCCTTAACGCAAAACCATGACAGTAGGTAGAAGATGGGAATGCGCAAATTCATATATCACCTGTTTTAGATGGTGTACTTACCGAATCTCGGTGGCATCTAGCTGGTACACAATATCATGCAATGCTTATTGACAAATGCGCAAGCCAGGTAAACTGACTGGGCGTACATGCGAAACAAGACATAAGCGGATCTCATTTGACCCGGGCCATAATTGGTAAGCTACGTTAATTACGGTTAACAAAATCGTTATAGATGCGACCAAGCCCCAAGGCTTCGTGGAATGTACAGAATTCCGGGTGATCGACAAGATTCCGCGTTGGGTCCAGCGTATTAGAGAGCGCGAGACTTTCCATCGGATTTCCAGTAAAACACCGGGGATAGGTGATGAAGCATTGTTACTGGTTATCATGAAATTACATATCATATTCTGGATTTTGTCGCCTCTTTTGCGTATCCAAGCTGACGGAGATTGCATATCCTGGGTGATGGCTGTCATGCGATTTGAGCTTCGTACATCGCGTAGAAGGATTAGCAAATCTGATTTCTGAGCGCCCGCATTTTCTCGTAAAAGGGACGAATTTCGGACGCTCATCGCAAGCTTCAAACTCTTGTATATGACAATAATTCCGGTTCCTTAAGAGCCGGCTCGTGCACACAACTGCGTTGGTCGTAGAAATGTATTACAAATTATACGAACCGGGTCCACGCGACTAATGAAAAGTGAACGCCATTCGCTACTGTAAACCCGAAATGGGAATAATTTCGGGCGCCCGGAATGCGCTGCCATTAACGTGTACAAGGAACTAATGGAGTGTGCTGCGGGGTGCTTTCGCGCGGAAGAGTTCAAAAGGCGTATAAATTGGTTAATCTGTTGAAATAAGTTATTCGCGATGGAGATAATGCGGGAGCAACATTGTATTATTCACCCGACTTTAGTCTAAAATGGGACTAATTTCGGGTAATCACGACCGCCCGCAGTTTGTGTCAGCAGGAGGAATTTCGGCCGCACAATTGGCGCTTATCGGGCGTTGGTGCCGGCATGGGGAATTTTGTTGACAAGTACATCCTCGTCACTTTGAATAGACTTGTGAGAAAGGCAGCCAGAGCCGGGAGCTTTACGACAACATAAAAATCGGGATGCACCTCGAATCTCTGTTTCAAAAGGAGGATGTCACTCATCAATCATTATACACGTTAACCTAAAGGTAACGAGCTTGTTTTGTAATCGGACGGCGCGGGTTCGAGCCTGCGTAGGAAAAGGGCGAACCTCTCAATATCCTACGCCCACGTGCGACCTGTGGTTGGCCGCATCCGGTTTCGGATTTGCCTGTCACTGTGGCCAGCCACAGAACGCCTGGTCTACAAAGGAACCATGGGTGGCTTGTGCTGCACCACCCACAGCTCCAACCACACACCCCATATCCAGTGTAAACCCGACGGAATAAGACCGGGAGGCATGTGGATGGGAGCCACGTTTCATCAACGGAGCCGGCTCACACTCCTTCACAGGCAATCACGCTGTATTTGGGGAATCCAGCGCAAACAAGGCGGTGGCTGGACTGCAGTTCGCTCCACAATTGGTGCATGGAACCACTATTCGAGCCTAGTACGGCCACAAGGTGGTGCACCCCATCCCCACCAGCAACGAACAACTGTCTCCTGGAGCCAGTATGGACAAGGTAGTTGGTAATAGACAAGTAAGCATCTTGTCAACATGCACGTCAAGCGCAGCCACACCGGAGATAGCAAGCAACAGCCAATCACTCGAAACGACAAGATAAAAGAAAATAAATCAGATAATGCTACAAATACGGAGACATAACTCTTCACTAAATGGGCGTATTAAATTGAGTATGAACTGATCCGCTATAGTTTCAAGACGTCAGAAAATAGATTTTAAGAAAATGCCACAAACGTGAAGATGTTACCGAAATTAACTACAATTAGCTTCAGCGACGTGTGCAAGTTTATAGAAGATAGTACTGGTAGACATTTATATAAGAAAAGCATTAGGACAAAGTTGAAAACCTACCACCTGAAATAAAGAGAGTTAGCATGCAGGCACTCGGTTAGTAAATCGAATGCAGCGTACCTACAAATGCTGCACCGGTTGTGCCTAGGTTCTCTGCGGAACACGTCGCTTCGGTGGTGGTCCCGAGTTGCCTCGCTCATGGCTCACTAGGCCTGACTGACTCAGGCACTCGTGACCGCATGTGCTACAGCACCATGCACTCGATGTCGATGGACTACAACCCATCGGTGCTTGCCGCTTCCGCACTTGCCGATTCTTCTCTGCATCTATGAGGTCTTTATCCCGCACTTCGGCAACTCCCTTCGTGATCAGACCGCGCCATGCACGGCGATCAACCGCCTTCAATTCCCATGACCTGCAATCAAGATTAGAACGTGAAAGGCTCAGTTTGATCATGTCCCGGTAACGTAACTTTGGTTTACCTACATGCCGCTTCTCAATACTCAGCTGACCATATAAGAGTTGTTTCGGTATCCGAGTCGAATCCATACGCCACACATGACCGAGCCATCTCAGGTGTCTCAGCAATAGTATGC